AGACATGTTAATCTTTACGTGTGAATGTTGAGACAGAAAAAAGTGGTAGCATTCACCAGCCAGCTTGGCTTTTTTCTGTTTCAACATTAAGATTGCGGTCTGAGAGTACCATGAGGCTGTCTAATAAGGCAACACCTTTGGTGGAAACAGCCCTTTAGCAAAAAGTAAACACATATTACAAGTTTTACCGATCTAAGCTAGTGCCTGTCAGTATATGGTTTTGCAATAGGACATTTCTAAGCCACTTTTTTTCATTCATTCAGCAGAAGGAGCCAAGCCTTGAGGCTGCCCAGAAATCACACTCAGTGCCCCAGATACTCTCTTCCTGCTTATCCTAGCCATTTTAGTTCCATGGGGGAGAAAGAAATGCATTCTGGCTATGTTTTCAAGTACATTTCAAGGGATATTGTGAACATAAAATGGAATGCAGGATCATATAATCCACCTTGGGCTCTTTAGAGGAAAAGAGGTATGATTCTGTAATGTAATAAACAAACAAAAGACGTGTCTAACCCTGCTGTAACACATCTCTGCTCATATGACCAAGGCCTAATCGTTATGGGCCAGCTCGAGCTAAATACTGGATGGAAGAAGAAAGAAGTCATTAAGTTGAGAAGAAAGAAGCCATAAAGGTGCAAGTTTCCTGGGAAATAAGCATTACAAGAGAGAGAGAGAGAGAGAGAGAGAGAGAGAGAGAGAGAGAGAGAGAGAGGTGCCAAGACAAGTCACCACATGATGATTTTTGAGACAAAGGCCTCTGAGAACAGGAGAAACTTCCACTGTTTACCATGCTCAGCACAAAAAAGGCATACAGGTTGCTGGGGAAGGATTGAAGAGATCAAAGAGAAATGACATAATTAAGATCATAATCAAGTAGCCTACATAAGAAATAGGTCTGGAAGAGAATAAAAAAACAGTCATATTGTATATAATCAAATAAGCAAGTAGATATGTGCAGATCCAGCAGGGGCTTTTGAAGCTCTTAAGAAATTCACGCCAACTAGCTCAATTCTGGAGAGCCAACCAGCCTCCAAAATGGAAAGAGTAGATCTCTCCTGCTTCAATTTACATTTTGGCTAGCAACCATAAAATAAATGCAGGTTGAAGTTACACTGGTAGGAAAAGTCACATTAATGTTGCCTGGAAAGGAAAGATGGTGCCCTCGGCTATATGCCAAAAAGGAAGCATATCCATGAACTTTTTTGAAGTTCTGTAAATCAGAGGTGAGCAGAAAGTAGATATTTAGATGTTCTGGACTTCAGTTCTCAACATTGCTCAACACTGGCCATGTTGGCAGCTACTTATGAGAGTCAATGTCCCAAACAATGTCCCTCCTGCCCCCTGAGATCGGCAGCAGAGGCTCTCTTCTGGGAACCCTCCGTGAAAGATATTAGGAGGCAAAGAACCTGGAGGGGGGCCTTCTCTGCGGTGGCGCCCCACCTATGGAATGCGCTCCCCAGAGAGGTCTGCCTGGCTCTGTCGTTATTTGTTTTTTGGTGCCAGGTTAAGACCTTTTTATTCTAGCAATATTTTAATATTGTCTTTTCTATGTTTTTAACTGCAGCCAGTGTGGGTCGGGAATTTATTTATGTTATATTTTATGTTGTAAGCTGCCCTGAGGCTTTTTGCGACAGGATGGCATATAAATATTTTAAATAAATAAATAAACATGACCTTCTGCTCACCCCCTGCTATTACTTCTCCATGATGGTAAAAGGTGTCCCATGCCACAGAGGACACTTGTGCTTCTAACAGCAAAGATCTACAAGCTCACACATACAAGTTACAAATCATAATCCCTTCCAGAACAAGCTGAATATCATTAATCCAGATAGACGAACTGCCCACCAGCAGTACTTCCATTTTGTCTGGGCTGAGCTTCAATTAATGGGCCTTCATCAAGTCCATTACCATGGCTAGGCAGTGAGTCAGCACTTCCACTGCTTCACCTGAGTCTGATGAAAACAAGAGATACAATAGCCTGTCATCAGATGGCTATGTACACTGGATGACCTCACTCAGTTGTTTTATTTAGCTGTTAAATAGCATGGAAGATAAGATGAAATCTACAGGACCCCAAAGCATAAATGCCACAGGGACAAAGATAAATCCAGAAGCACTACCTCTAGAAATGGCCATTTATATAGGACTGGAACATCTGTAAAGTCGTATCATCCATACTCAGCCTCTCCAAAAGTAATAATGGTTGATGGAACTGAAAGCTACTGAGCGGCACAGCTCAATCAATGGCTGTGCTGACCCAGTCTTTTTCCCAACAAATGCGATCCCGCATAAGGACATAAGAAAAGCCATGTTGGATCAGACCAAAGGTCCACCTAGTCCAGCTCTCCATACATATAGTGGCAAACCAGTTGCCCACAGGATCCCTCAAGCAGGATGGGTGCAAGACCTCCACCTGCCCAAGCTCCTCAGCACCTGGTATATGCAGGCAATGCCTCCTCTGGTAAGGGAGGTAGCACACAGCCAAGAGAGTAGCCACTGACAGCCTCCCCCTCATGAATCTGTCCAGTCCCTTTTTAAAGCCATCTTTTAAATCCAGATGGGTAGCCATCACCACTTCCCATGGCAGCAAATTCTGCAGTTTAACTATATGCTGTGTGAAGAAGTACATCCTTTTATCTGTCCTAAAACTCCCACCAATCAGCTTCACAAAATGATACCTTTTTGGTGCTAAAATCAGGCCTAAATCCTATTTGAAATATATTTAGAAAATCAAAATCATGCAAAAGGGCCTGGATCTAAATGGGTCACCACCTGATCTGTAACAGTCTTGTACAGAGATTTTTCTGTTGTGAAGCTCAGTGCAATAAAGTTACTTCCTCCTAGTAGCATCCACCTCTAATTTGTGGTCACACTTCAGGCTGTTTTGCATGCTACAGATGTGTTTTGCAATTCTATAAGGCACCATTCGGATGGTTGAAGAAATAATTCAGTTCACATTTGAATATAAGCCTTGTCTATTTTAAGGCTGATTTATTTAATTTCACACCTTCAAAACACAATGTGAACCAAGACTCAAATTATCTTTTGGAATTTGCATTTCTACACATTTGCAACAAAGTTCTTCAATTAAAAAGTGTACAAAAGCACCTATATTTGAAAACATGCTTTTAGAAAATATGCCTATAAAGCAAAAACGCATACAAAATGCATGTATTGAGAGGAATATGCACAAAATGCTATGGGTTCCTTTTGATACAGTTTCACAGTGCAAGAAGAACCACACTTAAAACTGGAGAGATTCTCAGAATTTGAGATGAACTGAAGATGTGCCCATCTCTAAGTCAGAACTGCAGTGTCAATGACCCTCCAGTGTTAGTTCACACAGTCAAACCCTATTAAATGTCAGATGTCAAGGATACCTCACATCCCAGCGGCTGCACACTCACCATCAATGCTGCTTGAGATATTGGAGCTGGGGGGGGGAGGTGTACACAGTTGCTATGCAACAGAATTATGGATTGCATCTGACATTTTTAGTTGCACAAGCTAAAAAGGTAAAGATAGCATGTGTTACAGGTGCTTAGTATGGGGGGTTTTCAACCAGCTACTGCTCCCTAGGCTCTCAATACAGGGCGACTTAAGATGGATATTGCATGGAGTGACACTTTATTAAACTAAAGCCTCTCCTAATGTTGGAGCTTTCACTATAATAGAATAATAAGCTAACACAAAAACCAGTCTACCTCCACAATCCACAACAGTCTAAGACATATTATTACCTGAAGCTGGCCCCGAGCCTAGGTCGCTAACAACAAAGGCCTGCTCTGCCATTCAGGCACCAGCCCATCCTTCATCTATCTTCTTCAGCTCCTACTTCTTATGGTGCTGCCTGAAGCAGGTCGCTTTACCCAAGAGCATAGCAGGGCTGCTCTGGCAGCAGCTGATGATTTTCTTCTGGGTTTGATCCAATTCTCACTCAGGTCTCAATGAATTCAATGGACATTGTGTCCAAGTGGGCATAGGATTACTGCCATTAAGTGCACTAGTAACATCCAGTGTACAAATATCAAATTATTGGCTCAAGATTAGTTGTTGCAGCTATTCTGCAGATAACAGTTCCCCCAAACATTTCGTGTTATTAACATTTGGTAGTTATTAAAAATATCAACATGATATTCAGGTATGTTCATTTCCTGTTTGTTAAGATGCAACCCCCAAACCAACTAAGTTTGTACTAGAATGCACTAGTATATATTATTTCTCTTTCTTTTTCTTTCTTTCTTTCTTTCTCTTTCTTTCTTTCTTAATAAATAAATCTTTAATGGTATCATTGATAACAATAGTATAGTTAGTTTGGCCATATCAAAACTATGCAATAGATTTATAAATTAACACACACACTCCTTTGGGTTGTTTAAATTTCCATCTGGCAACCCGGAATTAATAGGCTAAGAACTAGCGAGGTCCGGGGATTGACGTACCCAGCAAGCAGAGTGTATCTGTGTACACGATGCACTGTAATACTGAAACATACTGTTATTTAGTCCAGACGAGAGGGAAAGCAGCGGAGGCCTACGGTGAAGGGTGAGCAGAAAAGCAAACGCTCAGTCAGACAAGCTCTTTGGAGAGGCTGTGGAAGGTTCAAGCTGTGTTTGCTTGTACCTTTTTTCAAATGAGCAAGGTACTGCTCGCGCAGGCTGGGCGACCCGCAAGTGTACTTTTCAGCAACCTGCGCAGGGTTCCGATATTCCCAGTTACACGGGCTTTGACTGGGGTCCTCCCGGGGCAACCTAGGAAAGGAGCGAGCAGCTCCTCATCCACCTCCGCCGGTTCCGCGCCTCCTCGCCACACGCGCTCGCTGTCAAGGAACGGTCCCAGCAGCGCCTCCTCCAACCGCTGGGGGGCGCGCTGCCCAGGCACTGCCCGCTCCGGCGATGGCGGCGAAGGCTTCCCCCCGCGGGCAGGGGCCGGACGGGCCGCGCCGCCATATTGGCTGTTGTCCTGTCTCAAAGCAGTAGCAGCGGCGGCGTTGGCGGCAGCAGGGGGGAGCGACAGCGGCGTTGGCGGCAGCGAGAGCGCGACAGCGTGGGGCGCGGGACCGGCATGACTCGCAGGCGGAATAAGGCGGTAGGCGCGGCTGGGGCGCGACGGGAGCGCGCGGGGGGAGCAGCCCCCCCCGAACCGCCCGCGCCCCCCGCCGGGCCCGGCCTTCCAGAGATTCCCGAGGCGGCGGCGGCGAGCAGCGCGGAGCAGGGCAGAGCCTCACAGGTACCGGGAGCGCGCGCGCCCCCCTATCACGCATTGCCCCCAGATCCGAGCCTGCATCCACACCCCTTTGCCCGTAGATCGCCTGCCCCGGCGCATCCATCTGCGGCGCGATCCACCCTTCACCCAGATCCCCACTGCACTCATCCTCCTGCGCTCTGATCGCAGCCATCCGAGGTACCCTTTCGTCCTCACTTCCCCCACCTCCCGGAATCGCCCTCCTGAATGCGGTTCCCGCAGCACCTTGCTCGAGCACCCTCCCATCCCACCATGCATGTAGCACGGCACCCACAGGGCTCCTTGCAGTCACTTCAACATCCACCTTGAATCAGGGCTTGTCTAGCTCATGACCCAGCAGAGTATGTGCGTGTGTGTGTCTTCTAGCTTCCCCCACCCCTTCGCTCAAGCCACCTGCTCCCCGTATATCCAGCACACGTCAGGCCCAGATACTTACCCCAATGCCCAGTGCTGTCTTCTTTCACCCAGCCCATTGTTACATACGGCGCTCAAGCGACACACCTCAGACCCTATATGCTGTACTTATAGATAGCATGCCACCTTTTCACAGAACAGGGCATTTTGTAGCTCAGAATGCAGAAGGCTGCTTGTGCTTTTGCTTCTGTGTCTGTTTCTAGCTTCTTCAGGGAAGTGGTATTCCATATGTTGGATACACCTTTTACTGTATTAACCCCAGCACCCAAACCAGGTACCCAGCTTTCTTTGCTAGAGCACCTACACATTCTTTGTATGCTGCATCTTGTCTGTTTCCTTGTTACATCTTTATTAGACCAACTGAGACAGGCCTTCTCCATCAATGCCTGCAAAGGCTCAGCACCTACACCCCAACTTTCCATTTATGTTTTGAGCCCTTATCCCTGTTTCATCTGCTCTTCTGTGGTGCCCTGCCCTGGGACCATGCTGCATCTTGTCCTTCAGATTGTGTCTGGGCCTGTTTTAGATAGATGCATGCATCCCCTCCCAGCCCATAGTGAGACAGTCAGCTGGATCTTGTGCTGTCCAGACTTTTACTAAGCAGCAAAGAGAGCGTTCCATGACAGTGGAGTAGGTACTAGTGCAGTTTGCCAAGGAAAGAGATTTAAAGCTGTTTTGCAGTGATGGTGGGTGGGAGATGTGTGGATAGGCAACTCAGAACTGACAGCAGACAGCATTGACCAGTACTCTGCAGAAGGTCACTCAGTAAGTGATGTCCTGCCCTCCAACCACAACTGAGTTCCCAGCTGGATCTTGACATTAGGGTGAATTTGCACAGTGACACAGGGTTCTTGTGGGTCAATTGAACAGCAGCTGTGCTGCAAGCAGAATGCAGTTTGAGCCGAAGAAAGAGCTAGAACCTGGCATGGGCAAAGGAGGATGTTCAGCAGCCAGTCTGGTGCCCACTGGGCCTGGTTTGGGATTGCTTGCATCACCCCCACTGGCACTAGGCAGACAGTTGCGCTCTCTCTACCGTTAGCCATGTACTCTGAGGTGGCAAATCCCCAGGACAGCTTTGTGTTAACTAAGGATTGTGGAATTAGCCTTCTGGGAAGCCAGGCTGCTGTTGGCAGACAGCAGACCTGCAGGAGCCTCAGCCAGAGTTGTACAGAATATGCGAAAACGAGGGTTTGCCTACATACTGAGCTAGTTGACAAGACGTTCTCAGCCTTTTGAGGGGCCAGGCTTCTGTTCTTGTTTACACACATTCTACAGCATGACTATCAAAGGCTGTTTGATGGGGATTTTAAATGAAATAAGCACAGAACCAGTTTTAACCATGGACAGGATGCCATTCACTCCAAATGATATTTATGTGGCCCAGTGTGCATAAAGAATGTCACACTGCATTGGTTGAAAGTAGTCCCACTGTGCCAGGAGGGCAGCAACCCTTCCCTGCCTGCTTATGCCTCCTAGTCTTCACCTGCTGCAGCAGCTACTGGCTACTGCAGCAGCTACTGGCTATTTATTCATTAGATTTATATCCCTCTTTTTCTCCTCTTACAAGGAAGGTATCTTACATGCTCCTCTCCTCTCCATTTATCCTCACAACAATAATCCCTGGAGGTAAGGTTAGGGAAAGGGTAAGTGACCAGCTAAAGTAAGCTTCAAGGCCAAGCAGGGGGACTACAACCCAGATCTCCCTAGTTCCAGTCTAACACTCTAACCACTACATTACCCTAGCTTTCTATAAATGCCAGTGCATTAGCGCCTGATTCAGTGCTCAAATTGTGGGTGAAAAGGTGGGGACCTTAATGAAATTCAGAAGCCTCCATCTGTGACAACTTGACTGCATTTCCCCTGATTTTATCCATGCTGTGCCCTCCAACCACCTAATTATATTCGGAAGAGTCTGGCATAAAAGATAACAGAGCCAGTCCTTCTTTGGACCCTCTAAATCAAGTATTGATCAGACCCCCTGCAGAATATGCCATCTTTGTAATTCAGAAAATAGAAATGAGTGCACAGATGAGCTCCTTGCTACAATGCATCATGGTAGGGTTGGGAGCACTTAATTGAAGCTTACTGCCAAGTAAGTGTATATAAAATAATCACCTGAAATTTCTCGCCTTGGTGCTTATGTAGTGCCTCAGTCTTCGTGGAAAACTAAATTTCAAAAGACCAGTATGAAAATGTACAACAAAGAGGTCAGTTAAGATGCAGTGTGGCCACTTGGGGATTGGCATTGGTCTGTCTACCTGTAGCAAAGTTAGGTAATATTCAGTCCCTGCCCCTGTTTCTCTTCTGCAAGAAAGCATGAGTTCTTGCTGCTTCTCACATGCATGCAAAAATATGGCACTGTATCCCATGACTCTGGGAGGGAAGACAACTAGGGAGTTACACAGTTTCTTGCTTTCAGTTGGGAAATGGAGAGTTGCCACCTTGAAGTAGGTAGGGATACAAGTTACCCAACCCCACTTTTCACTTTACAGACACTCTTCTCTTCCAACATCTTGTGGAGTGAGCCCTTTGCCAAACTCCTGGAATGATAAGTAGTGCCAGTGCAGGAACTGGGCCTTGAGCAGATTGGGCAGAGTAAACCCACTATCTGTTCAAGGAATTTGCATGACTATCTTCATCTAAGTTGAGTTATATGATTTACCTGTTTGAAGTAATGTCATTACCTCTGCCTTGTGGAGGTTACAACTCAGGTTCAGTCATACCGTTGTGTTAGAATGTTATCAAGAAGATGCAGCTGACTGGCAGAAACACCTGTGGAAAACACACATTAAAGCAGCCTTGTATCCAGTAGGCCTTCAAAGGCCTAAATCCAAATGCTGAGGAATGATGTTAGTCTCCATTATCAAGAAAGATGCTTATGAAATCATCTGGTTCAGGCAAAGGATACTGGAATGTATTGAGATATTCAGTAGAACAACAGTAGAAATTAAAGACAGGAACAGTTAAGCACAAGGTAATTTGCAACTTTCTTAAGATCCATTATTATTACTGTAATCCATTTCATAATGATGCCATTTCTGTATCTCCCATATTTTAAACACATAATACTCATTGGAAAGATTAGCTTGTTGCTGGCTTAAGAGCAATTGACAGAGCTATGGCACTAACAGTTCCCAGTATAGTGAAATGTAGTTTAAAGTTGCAGTGGAAGTTGGAAGCCCAGAATAGGCTTCCAAATCCAGATTGGCCAGAAGTGCTACTTTGGGAACAAATCCTCAAGACTGGAAGTTGCAGCATCTGAAGTGCCCAGGCATTACAAACATATTCGCAGAGCACTGCTGATGAGTAAAATGGAGGGACCATATGTTGGTGAGAGGGTATATGCTCTGCAATTGCAAGATCATAGGGTTGGTCACTGTTATCTCCAGGTAGGACTGGAGTACCCCCTGCCCCACATACACGTGTGCATACACGGCACAGCCCTGACAATCTGTTGTCGACATTGTGATGACAGTACTGGGCTAGATGAACCATTGGTTATGTCAGATTCTTATGTTCCTAGTGAGCAAAAGCAGTGGCATTTGAGCCATAAGAAGGGGTCATTATCTGTTTGGACACAATGTAGGGATGAGGTAGCAGTGGGAAGAATCACTGAATTAAAATTTCACCCTTGTTGCTTTCTGGATGATTCTTGTACATCCAGTCATGAAAATTCAGCCCACTTTTATGGGAAAGTGATTTGTTATTGCTTTGGAAATTCCAGGTGATCAGATGAGTTTTCATGGTTCTCCTTCAGAAGAATTAAAGTTTCAGAAAGGAAAAGCTGAAGACAGAGTGAATTAGTATAGATTTTGCATTTGTTGTCCTTGTCCTGTCTCCATCAGAGCCCTTGTTCTGAGCATAAGATGAGGACACACTAACAGACTCAACTAGATAGTATGCTTGTAAGCATCACCAGGAATAAAATTAACATTTAGCGTTTCTGTAGTGTTCTTAGATGCTCAAAGTGCTTTATATCCAGTTTCATTTATATCAAGCCAAATGTTTCTTCATTTAATCAAGAAATATAATGATTAGTAGCTCAGGGAGTTAGAGGAGATAAACAGAAGACTGCCTGCTACAAGTACTCTGTGAAAGGGACAGTGCAGCTATAGGAACACTTGGCAGGCTATCTAGTGAGATTTAGGGACAGCATTTCTCCTTCCTTTATGCATCGTTGAAGCAAAGCTAAACTTTGATAAATGCATATAGAATCTGGACATATACAGCCCCCATACATATATTATCCCTTCTATTTGAGGGCTTCTGCAGCAAACTGGGAACTGGTACAGAGCAAACTGGAAGTTGATTCTTGCCATTTACAGCATCCAGAGCAGAGCTTCAGTGCCTTTAAAAGCTGTGTAGCAAGGAAAGTCTGCAGATGCATCTTCTCTCACAGCAGCCCTTAGAGAAACAGCATTTACAGATCTTCTCATTTCTAAGTAGATTTTAAAGGCACAGGAACCTGCACTGAAACTGACAACCCTGATTTCATACAGTGAGGCAAGTTTTTCTTGTCTGTTCCTTTCTAACCAATTAATAGTGCAGTGGCAGAGCTGACCTTCACAGCA